TGGCATCTCGTTTCTGTTGAGAGTTGCCACACCTGAGCCATTGTGCTTTATCATTTTCCAAATAATCTTCTGAAAATTTAAATCCAGCGCCTCACCTGTACTTGTTCCAGAAATGTAAAGGTGACCAGGGTTCTAGCCTTCCCCTACTCTTCTAAAGACAAGCATTTCTAGTTCTATCTGTGTTGCTGCTGGAGATTTCCCCTCACTTACTGTCTGGTAAAAATGCTTTCAGCAGGACAGGAAGTGAGAGGACACTCCTCTAATGAAGCCTCGGATATCTGGAAAGGCTGACAGGAGTTCTAACACTTTCTCATAATATCCAAAACTAAGAGACTTTTTTGGTGTTTTAGAGAGAGTCACCCTCACTTCCTGTCCTTCAGGCAACAGTTTCACCAGACAGGAAGTGAGGGAAAATCTGTAAAGACAAAAATAAAAATGTGATAAGGGTTCTAGTCTTACTCTACTCCACTAAAGAAAAGCATTTTTTTTCTCCTTAGCCGGTGGAGATTTCCCCTTACTTCCTATCTGGTAAAAACTTTTTATCAGCAGGACAGGAAGTCCCTTTAACCGATACTAAAAGCTTCGCAGGAGTTCTAAGATTTTCTCACTATATTCAAAACAAAGTTAACTTATTATTTGGCTAATCATTTCTATATGCTTACGCAGGACTGACCCTCATAAGAGGTGCTAAGTTTTCCCTTCCTCCACCTCTTTCTTTACAATATGAGCAGCTCACTGCAGCATCCCTGGTTTGGGCATTAAAACCCTCTTTCCCATAAAGTTCTTACGAGGAGTCAGTCCTGGGTAAACATATAAGAATTATTAATGAAGTGCTAGTATAGTTGCCCTGTAATGCAGAGATGTCAACCTGAGCATAATAAATGTAGGGTGAAGAAGCAGAAAGTGGGAGTGGCTACTTTGACCAAGTGGGTGTGGCTTAGTGCAAAATCATGTTCCTTCCCTTCATCAACTATCACTTTTATATTGGCCATACACTAGTAGATTTCCAAACGAAGATCTTTCGTTACTATCGAAAGTAGAGGTACACCGAAATGGAATTTTTAAAAACGAAACGAAACCGAAATTTAAAAAAAATGTCAGGCCGAAACCGATACCAAAAATTTTGCATTTTTTTATTTTTTTTCAATATTTTATTTTTTATAAACTTTTTAATATTTATTTTTATTTATTCATTTTTTATTACATATTTTTATTTTTTACTTTATCTTTGGTTCTCGATCCTGCTGCAGCTGCAGCGTCTTATATTGCTTCTACTCCCCTCCCAACTCTTTCCCCAGAGGTGGCTGCCCTTATTGGGGAATCCTTCACTACGGAGGAGATTTCTGGCGCTATTAAGGGGCTTCCCCCTGGGAAGAGTCCAGGTCCGAACGGATTCACTGGGGCCTTCTATAAGCACTTTCAAGACTTGCTGACTCCCTTACTTCAAACCACTTTTAACTCCATATATCGGCCGAAACATGGCTCTTTCAGCATTATGCCAAAAGTGCAATTTTCGGCCGATATGTTTCGGCGCCGATATATCGGTGCATCCCTAATCGAAAGATCTTTCTTTACCACCCCATAATGCCACCAGAGACTTAACGAATGTCGAACAAAATGTTGTTTTATTTTAACGTTCGATTTTACAATGAATGGAGTTTCCCGAACGAAAGCCACATTCACTGTTAGAATTTAGTTTGTTCGAGAAAAAATGTCCATCCTACTTCAACTTTTTTCGTCACTATGGTCGAAATCGATGATCGATTTGACCCCATCAACTAATAGAAAGTCGAATAAAAGATCTTTTGTACAAAAGTTCTTTCAAAAATCTACCAGTGTATGGCCACCTTAACGGCCATTTGCTCCAGGTTTTCTCCTGGACTGTATTACCTGCACCTTACACATTGTTTGCTCCCTCTCATCACAGGTCGTTGCACAAATTGGGAGGCACAGGAGAAGATTGGGAGCCCACTAATAAACTGTGCTGCAGGGGAAAACTGCAGCTGTTGTCAGGTTATGATTCCCTGCTACATTTTACAAGATATATATACACTGAGGGTAATTTATCAAAACTGTAGCAGACAAAATCTGGAGCAGCTGTGCATGGCAACCAATCAGCTTCTCATTTCAGTTTGGTCAGTTAACATTTGAAAATGAGAGAGAGAGAAGCTGATTAGTTGCCATGCACAGCTACTCCAGATTTTGTCTGCTCCGGTTTTGATAAATTCCCCCCATCGTATATACAGTAACATTGTTTTTATTACTTCATCTGTTCAGTCAAATAGTTGTATAACTGACTGTTGATCCTATGCTGACCAAAGGTAACCTCTACTGCAAACCAGAAATCCTCCTCTTTTTTTTTTTTCAATTCAATGGCTGCTCACTTGTTGCAGGATGGTGACTGCAAATGTATTAAAATCCAAAAATGTAATGTTCATGTTTTACAAGCATTTGTATATTTACAAAGTTGTTCTATGAATGAAAGCAGCATACACAACAGAACCACACTCTGAACAAAAATGTTTTATAAATGTATGTGTCAGTATATAGTTCGTGAATAAAAAGGACATCAAGCTACAAAATGAATTCTATGTACATGACTTAACAAAAATGTAATTGATTGTTTGGACTAATCATTAACAGTTTCTAACTGAATGCAAGAAAAAAAGGCATGGAACAATTTTGTTGTGTAGATTTCCTCATTCCAGAGAATCCTTCCCCTCTTCGCTCACCCTTAATTTTGGTTAATACCTAAACCTCCATCTGACATGCAACAATACACAGATGCAATTTGCTTCTGGAATGTCATTAAAAACATGCATATAGCACAAGCACAATAGAATTTAAAGCACAGCCATTGCCCACTCAAACCAGTACAAAACACAATCCCCAATTCACTTGAGAAAATGAAACCAGACTATCCGCTGACTGCTGCAAGATGTACAAAATAATGTTAAAAGCTGCAGTATTTTAAACTAGTAGTTTGTTAAGCTGCATGGCTCATCTGCTTTAAAGTAAGCCTGTTGCCCAGATCATGCAAACTAAAGCAATAAAGTCACTTTAACCACTTGCTGTCCGCAGCAATTTCTTACTATTTGCACACACATGATAAAATCTAATTTGTTTGGCTAGAAAACAGCTTCAGACCCCCAAACAATGATATGTTTTCTGAAAGCAGAGGCCCTGTAGAATAAAAAAAATGCTAGTTGCGATTTTTTTAGGTTGAACGATATTTGTGCAAATGTTTATCAAATCACTATTTTTAGTATAAGGTACACTGAAATTAAATTTAGTGCTCAGAAACAAAAAAAGAAGGGGCCACGTCAGGTAAAAAGAGACCAAACATGTCAAGCCTTAAAATTGCGTTCGCCTGTGAAGACGCAAAAAACTTAAATACCCAAAAGCTTTTACCGCTCATCACTTTAGTGCTAACAGTGATTAATGGCTCTAGAATGATTGCTCTCACTCCGATGTTCACAGCGATATGTGTAGCGCAATTTTAGTTTTTGCATGTAGGTGCACTGATGCGAGTTTGCGTGTGTATGTGCATGCATGTGGGGGGCGGGGGACTAAAACTTTTCTTTGCATTTAAAAAAAAAATTATGTTACTTTAATTTTTTAAACACTTTTTTTACACTAACTTAATTGCCATCACATAGGAGGCTAACAAGCCTCCTATGTAAAAGCAGATAGGGTGTGGCAGGTCCTCTTTCATGAAGACATCAGGGGTCTTTCAGACCCCTAATGTTACCTAGGGACCCCAAAGAAGCTGAGGAAGCAGAGTTCGGCTTCCCCAGCTTCTTCTCCTGGCTGTAAGAGCCTGAGAATGTATACAGTGACACGGAAGTGATGTAATACATATCAGGTCCAGGGTCCAGTGATCAGAAGAGAGATCAGCGGCTGGAAGCCACTGATCTCTCTCCAATTGTTGTGGGGAGACCCGCCGTGCCGGTCCCGGCCCGCATGGGAGACAGCGGAGTGGGGACAGCACATTCCGCCGATCGGTACAAACGATCCAGCGGCAATATAGATGCCGAATCACTTGTACCTGTACAGCCATCGCCGGCTGTTTAGACTGATACCAAGAACACGTTCTTGGTATGACCACTTCTGCGGGCTGCCTTACATTTATGTATTGTGGTCCGGAAGTGGTCAAATCACGCCCCCATTCTTCTCTATCAATAAACATTGTGAAGAAAATAAATTTCAAAGTACACAACACAGGCGCTGTGTTTTTCTATGAGAACAGACATTGGCTAGTGTAGGCTACCAACCCTCTCATGTAAGGAAACAGCAAATGTTTCTAAACTGTTAAGATTATTCACTTTACAATCTGACTGTACAATCTTGGTACAATCCTTCACCAAAAGTATGTAATATGACATAGCTAAACTATCGAATCAATCTAGTTGACATAGTTGTTGTTAGATCTAAAAGAGATTGTACACAAAAATTGTACCTAGTGCAGTGAGCTTTAAAAACTAAAACCAAAGGAAGGACTATTTTAATTTTTTTTTTTAAAAGGTGCTACTTTGATGATTAAATGAGCAATGTGACTAGATTATGGTATGGTGATTTGTAATATCACTTTCGCAACGGTCTAGACTGATTTAGAAAATGTGACTGCATTTAGGTTTTATAATACAATTACGAAACAAAGTGCAACAGATGAATACACATGGTTCAAACATATAAGTAATAATGGGTCTCATTGGTCCCACAAAAATGCTTGGAAATAAATGTGTTACCTATATCAAACAATTAGATACCTGTTCAGTTTTTTCTAATTTGCACCAGAAAAATGACTGGTTGCTATTTGGAGAATACAGAATAGTTTAGTGCATATAAATCATTTGGGATGCAGTGGTGACTCATGTCTCAGCAGGGTCACGTAAGCACCAGAAGCTACTATTAAAGCAGTGTGGAAGGTATGGCAAATATTTTGCCCAGAGTGTCATGGTTGTGCTGTGGGCAAAATATCTAAATGTGGAAATGGTGACCCTGTCCTGGGTCTGAATCTTGTTTCCCTCACCTGGAGCTGAAAATGTAAACAATAACAATATAAATTGCACGTACATACACATTTTTTTGGGTTTTAAAAAATAAAATGTGTATTGTAAATTAAAAGAATTATTAAACCTGTCATGCACATACAGTATACCGACATACATACAGCACTCTATATTGTTATTTGAAGTAGTAGTACACCACATAATAAATACACCTCTGTTGTCAGAATTGGCTAAATCCTGTTGACAAGAAGATAATAATAGAATGTCATAATGCTGAATTTAAACAAATGTGTGGCAACAGCAAATATCATTTATTTTTCAAAGTTTTTATATTTTTTCAAAGTTCAAAGTATATAATTGATTGTTAGAACCAGGAGCAATGTTCAGAAATAAGTTCTGATGGAAAAAAAATGTTTTCTTGACAAAAATGATAAGGTAGGGTTTACATGTTTGTGTAAAGGGGATTAATGAAGAAGATGCATTAGTTAAGCACTTGGGCCCCAGGACTTTTTCTCCTCAAATCCCCTTGAGTTCCAGAGTGATTTTTGTTCTTTTGGTTCTGCATATGATACCTTTAATCATTTGTATTCTACCCTAATATATTATAAAACATTTTCTACCAGACAGATGGAGCTTTAATTTTGTCACACATACTTTTTTTTGTTTGTTTGTTTTATTGAGAATAAATAGCAAACAAATTACTAAAAAATGCATTTTCCTGTAATTTTCCCTAACAAAAACAAAGCTGTGATCCTTATGTGCAACATCACCCTCAGATGAAATCAAGCTCACCTTTTAGAGTGGACCTTAAAGTGATATTAAAGTCTGAAGTTTTTTAAGCTATTTATGCTGATTAAATCACAATGGATGCTGCTCCTTGAAGTTTAAGGCCCCATTTACACAGGATCTGTTAGCATCTGTTGGATGCCAACACAAGGACATCTGAAAATGAATAGGTGTTAATGGGTTCAGTTCACACCAGTCAGTTGCTTTGCGCTGCCCTCCGTTAAAAAAAAAAAATTGATCAGCGCAACACAATGGACCGGTTATGAACTGCTAACGCATGTCAATGGAAGGCAGAACCAATAGCTTATATATCTTAGTATAAAAATCAACCACCCCCCCCAAAAAAAAAAACCTGCAATGTAACGAAAAGCAAACTCCAATCAACATACCTCAGTTGACTTGCATTTTTGGCTCAGAGTCTGGTGTGAATGCACCCTAAAAGTGTCAGCTAGCCCCCAAAGCATCAGCCCTCATTTACTGTCTTAGGGTTGCTTCTTTCCCATGCAGAGGACTGTGAAGACACCCTTGTGTGTGCTAGTAAGCTGTATGTATCTTCACAAGCACAAGCACAGAAAGGCAAGCCATTCCCCTGCTCTTTGCTCCCCTTTCTTCCCTCCTCCTTCCTCCCTTCTCCAAGCTAGTAGATGGGCAGCTACTGGAGACTGTGCTGCCCCTTGTAAACTTGTACTGGGAAAGAAGTTCTAGGAAGCAGAGCTGAGAGAGTTGGAGTCAGCTGTTCAGAAACATGATGACTGTAAGTGTTTGGGAAAAATTGTAAAGAAATACTTTGTTGGGCAATGTACATTTATTTGATCTGGATTCATTATTGAAAACAATTTGAGAGTTTAATACTGCTTTAATGTGGATAAATAGTGCAGATCATGGATTCGTTTTTGCTGCACATAGAAATTAAAATTCAGTTTTACGTGGAGTCACGGTATCATTAACCACCTTAGTACTGGAGGTAGTTGTATTTTTGTATGTTGCACAATATTTGCGCAAATGTTTATCAAAATGATATTTTTTTTAAAAATACACTAAAATTAATTTTAGTGCACACCATCACAAAATAATAACCAATTCTTTGGTAAAATATAAAAGATGGGGGTCATCCTGAGTAAATAGATACCGAAGATGTCAAGTCTTTAATTGCGTGCGCCGTGCAATGGTGAAAAACTATAGTACCCGAAAATTGCCCATAGATGACGCTTTGAAAGCCTTCACTGCTCATCAATTTAGAGTTAACACCAAATGATGGCACTATAATTTTTGCTCTCACTCTGACATTCACAGCGATACCTAACATGTGTGGCGCAATTGCTGTTTACATGCACATGCGTGCCCTATGTGTGTGTGTCCATTAGCATGCAGATGGCGCGTGCAGCGGGATTGATTGTAATTTAATTTATTAAATTTATTATTTTTTTACTATTTAACACTTTTTTCACTTAACTTTATTCTTATCACAAAGGGACTCAAAGTCCCCTACGTGATAGCATTTGGAGGAGACAGGTTCTTTTTATGGAGACATCAGGGGTATAATAGATAGCATTTGGAGGAGACTTCTCTTTATGGAGACATCAGGGGTCTGCCCTCCAATACAATCAAGCACCGGATTGTGCTTGATCGCGTGTTTACCCGGTACTTCTGCCAGGTTTGTGACAGCTCTAAATCAGGAAGCGCAGAGAGCACAACACTTTATGCTTCATTAATCACAGAGCAGATCCTCGTTTTGCTCCTCAATCCTGACACTGTTTGCCATGTGTTATAAAGTAGTTACCGCTCCAAGCTCACTCCTGTGATGGACTACAATCTCACATTTAGTTTACTAATTTGTGTTGCAATTGTAGTCCATCACAGGAGATAACTGAAAGCGTTTGCTACTTTACAACATACACAGGGACCATGGGGAACAAAAGTAGCCTCCCTCCAGAAAGAAGGAGAATATCACTACAAATTCAGAGATGATTTGAGGATCTACAGCCAAGTGATACACAAAATAGCTATATATATATATATATACATATACACACTGTAATACCATATTTTGTTAATAGGTAAGGTACTTGAATGGATTTTCAAGATTTAATTTCTAAGTTTAGCGTAGTGTCACTTTAAGAAGCCAAGAAACCCTTTTTTTTAGCTAATGCTATGTGAATGGGAACATGTACCAAATATAAAATAGGTGTTATTCCAATTTGGCTGCAAAAGTGGAAATACACTTTAAATGAATGAACCAGGGTTCTTGGACACCAGTGTGATTTGGGGGGTATTTGGAACAGTCAAGCCTTGACTTCAGTGTAGATTATAAGAATCTTCTCACAAAACAGTTTGACAAGAGTACACTCCTGCCAGTTATGAGGTATGTTGCTCTTTTTCAGTTAGGCATCTCCAGCAGGTATCAGGGACAGAGAGTAGAGTAGTGGTGAATCTAAACCACCTTCCACAGATCTAAGCATTACTAGATTGAGCCCATGGAGGCAGTTCTCACAGTGAAGTTGATGGCAGGGTCAAGCAAACTGCATGAATTTTATGTGCAGTTCTGAAAGTAATTGTCTGCATGCTGGACACTTTATAGCTTATGCTTTGTAATAGACTATTAGTTGCTCAGGGGGACTCGGTTGCTGTTGTGAAAAACATTTTTACCTGTTATTTTATTAACCTGCACATTTATTGTTCCTTTTATTCCATCACATATTTTTACGACATTACAATTTTACACTCATCCTGTTCATATTTCTGTCTAAAAAAGAGCTGCAGACAACTGTGGGACAACTGTATCTCCCTCTATGTAATACAATAAATGTAACAAATAGATTAGATATAGCAGGGCTCAAAATTTCCACTCGCCCGCTCGCATTTGGCGAGTGGAAATAAAGAGAGGGTGAGATAGCATATATTGTCAAATTTGGTCATACGTTAATATGTTTGTATATCCAGCAGTGTGTAACAGTTTTAGATGTGTATAGTGGGGAGCGAGCGGGACTGCATCAATAATTTGATTTCTGAAAATTGTTCATGTTTAAAAGTAATCTTGGTCAGTGGCTGTAACAATCATTACATAATACATATGGCCAATGTTACAAAGACGTAGATTTCCCATTGAGAAATGGAAAATTTGGTTACGATTTGAAAGGCTATGAAAGAAACTTGATCCAGTTATTCCAGCTTCCAATGTACTATAACAATGATCAACAATCCAATTAATTGCAACCTGATATATATAACCCATAATAAAAATCAACATCTCACAACTGGTACACCAAAAAGGATGAGAATTTGAAATACTTTAATGCTGGAGTTGTTAATTATGTTGTGCGGCAGTGTATTGGACATTTTTTACTAAACAGCATAGTATATGCAGGACAAAAGCTCATTGTAACAAAGGAACATTTTTAAAATGTTCAACTTAAAATATATACGTCAGAGTGACTAAGTATATTATAGCCTCAAGCGTACACTAAAAAACTAGATCTTTCAAGAAATGCTCAAGCTTGACTGGCAAATTGGATTCCAATCACTTTTAACATGTTTTTAGGGTATATTTAATAATTTGGTTGACAGTGTCTAGGCATCACTTGCTCTGGCTTTTGCTTTTCAAGTTTCTAAAATATTTAGTGAATGTGAAGAGGTGCTGAAAAGTTGGCTGGCAGTAATTAATTCACAGAAGTGCATTTCCATAGTCAAGTGAAATAATGAGGGGACCATTTGAGATAAACAAGCAAAGATGTACTATTTACTTGTCTCTAATACGCCTTTATGTGTCACATTTTACTATAGGAACAAATGCTGTTTAGTTAGCAAAGTGAATGTTAGTGGATAAGGTCAAATACGTTGTGATCTGGTATCTGCAATCCAGATCACAACGCACAGACACTCTTTACTGGTTCTGTATAGGTGGATGATACAGAACACATTATCACCTAATACAAAATGCAGCAAGTTAGTTCTACCCACTAATAAACAACACTACATTCACACATACGGAGTAACACAGTGACTTACAGCATACGCTGTTAGCTGCTGTTTCTAGGATTTGGTGTGCACAGTGGGCGGGCTCTGTGTTAACTTTCTTATCCAGATTAAACTAGCTCTAAGGAAACTTTGACACACCAGCTGTGACTGACACCCTGTGAAGGCCAGGAGGCATGTCTTAGACAGTCAGTGGATCTTGTGGGAGACTGGGTGTCCGCACACAGGAAGTGTGCCTGCTG